CCTTTGTAAAAATTTGATCCCCCATTGTGGCTCCTCCCTATCCCAGAGGTCATCATTTGAACAAACTTGAATCTACACTACCTGATGATGCTTCCATATCAATATGACTATGCATAGCTTTTCTGTTCTTGAGAAGAAATATTTTTTTCTATATGTTCTTATGTAAAACTTTCGATCCCCAATTGGGCCCCACCCTACCCCCTGGGGTCTTGATTTGAACAAACTTGAATCTACACTACCTGAGGATGCTTCCATACAAATATGACTCATCATGGCTTTGCTGTTCTTGAGAAGAAGATTTTAAAAGATTTTTCCTATATATTTCTATGTAAAACTTTGATCCTCCATTGTGGCCCCGCCCTACCCCCGGGGGTCATGATTTGAACAAACTTGAATCTACACTACCTGAGGATGCTTCCATATAAATATGACTCATCAAGGCTTTCCTGTTCTTGAGAAGAAGATTTCTAAAGGTTTTTTCCTATATATTTCTATGTTAAACTTTAATCCTCCATTGTGGTCCCGCCCCTACCCCCCGGGGGTCATGATTTGAACAAACATAAATCTACATTACCTGAGGATGCTTCCATATAAATATGACTCATCATGGCTTTGCTGTTCTTGAGAAGAAGATTTTTAAAGTTTTTTCCCTATATATTTCTATGTAAAACTTTGATCCTCCATTGTGGCCCCAAACTACCCCTGGGGGTCATCATTTGATGTTTAACCTATTTTTAAAGCGGTGAAGTATCATTATATAATGTTAAAGTATCAGCATATAATGTTGAAGTATCAACATATAATGTCAAAGTATCAGCACATAATGCTGTGTTAAAGTTTGATCCTCCATTGTGGCCCCGCCCTACCCCGGGGGTCATGATTTGAACAAACTTGAATCTACACTACCTGAGGATGCTTCCATATAAATATGACTAATCATGGCTTAGCTGTTCTTGAGAAGAAGATTTTTCCTATATATTTCTATGTAAGACTTTGATCCCCCATTGTGGCCCCGCCCTGCCCCGGGGGTCATAATTTGAACAAAATTAAATCTACACTACCTGAGGATGCTTCCACATGTGTTTCATCTTTCCTGGCCCTGTCGTTCTTGAGAAGAAGATTTTTAAAAGATACTATTAATTTTTTCACTAATACTTTATTACTTCCCCTTGAAAGAGGGCGTGGCCCTTCATTTGAACAAACTTGAATCCCCTTCACCCAAGGATACTTTGTGGCAAGTTTGGTTGAAATTGGCCCAGTGGTTCTTGAGAAGAAGTCGAAAATGTTAAAAGTTTTCAGACAGACGGACAGACAGACGGATGCCGGACAAAAAGTGATCAGAAAAGCTCACTTGAGCCTTCGGCTCAGGTGAGCTAAAAATGAAAATGCAGAGTACGATTAAGCATGTTTTTGCTATAATCACCAGAGTTCATGAATTTAGAAGCAATCCATATGTTTCATATTTCTTTTAACATTTAGGGCGGCAGAAAGGATCAGTCGCTTAAAATGGAAATAAACACAGAATCTGCATTCTTCACACCATTCAAATCGCATTAGAAGAAAATCTTGAATCAGTCACACAATTAAGGATTACACACAGAAAAAAAACCTCTGTTTTACCCTTCATAATCGCTTAAAACTAAGTAAATTAAATCACCACAGGTTAAAGCAAGGGGAATAGTACTTAAAACCAAATAAATATTTATGAAAATAAATGGCATTCCAGGGTGTGTCTACTCCGGAATACTTCAGATTCTGTGGTCAATTTTTCTTTTTTTGAATTACCGATTGAAAGCGAGACCTAACAGTAACGAGTAATACAAAATAGTTGAATGATGCATATGAAGTTGGATAACGTCCCTCAGCGTCGAACAACAACAGACTTATGCATGTTAATGGATTTCAATTGAAAATTGAAATTACATGCCAAGTATATCACGAATTTCACATTCTTAAGAGTTATCTCCCGTTGTCGACTCTATCCTTTGAAATTTATCTGTAAAGATTTTCAACCTTCAAACGGAATTGGACAATTTTGATCCGTTCCTGAATTGCCTTAGTATGGAGCAACATGAAAAACATAATGCACATATTCAAACGGGTCTAATTTGCGAGATATTGCCCCCCAACAGTTGGTAATGTTATAGAGGGAAAACTGTGTCCGGTTGACCCCAGATTGACCCCGCAAAGGAAAATAACTTTCGTAAATGTGAAATTCGTCTAATAGTAACGTTGACATTTATATCAAACTTTTATTTGCTTTCCCCAAAAGTATTTGCAGTATGTTAAATCATTGTGTTTGGGAGCAACGTGCAATTTTTGAACGAATGATATATTTTTTTTAAAAATATAAATTGAAATTAAATTAACAAGCTCCTGTATTTTGTAACATGATATCATCAATTGCAATATCTCCCTGGTAACCACTTCCGGCAATTCCTGTAAACATGACGTCATATTTCCGTGCTGTTTGACTTCCGCTTAATGACATTTCTGCAAAATGCCATACATCACCTTGGTTTCCGGTTCTACTCCATATTGTTTGAGCAGTGGACACCCATCCACTTCTTCCAAGGACAGAAACCATAAGTTTTCCAACATGTCGTCCAAGCATGTGATAATAAAACGATAAACAGGCGCCATTAGGACTGGCAGACACGCCTCTACTAATATAGTATGCTCTCTGACCAGTCGTCTTCTCACTAGTCTCTATGTACAGATAATGACCAGTACCGGATGTTACATCATGGGAGGGACCGGTGCCGTAGCTTGGAGTTCGACCTCTGTGAATAGTCCAGTCGAAATGGTCTCCATAATTTTTGTTTTGCATTGCTGTTGAATTGGTTTCAAAATCAACAAGAAATCCTGAAATGGAAAGCGTACACTATAAAGCTATTTCTTATTCCTGATTTAAAATTAAAATTGATATATAAAGACTATAACTTTTTCTTTTTTCTTTTAGCATTTTTTTTTTTACATTTTTTTTTGGTCAATATTGACTGAATATTTCCCATAATGAAAGCGCGATTATAATAATTTGACTGAGAGATTTCACGAAAACAGCTAATGCTAAGAATGTAATACAATGTACCTCCGTTAGACAGGAAGTCAGGGCATGGATAGCTTTCACCGAGAAAAATATCGTCTACTGCTATAACTTCTTCGCCACCTTTACCGATGTTAGCCTCAAGTACGAGCTGATAATGTCTTGAACCGGAAGAGGGAACTGTGACCCTCCCATAGATCCATCTATCCCCCTGATGCCCATCTCTTCTCCAAATTGTGTTTTCAATAGTTTTCCATCCCACCACTTCCACTTTGTGAAGTTTTAACACACCGACATATTCACCGGACATACGATACCAAAACGATACACAAGAACCTTGATGTGTGGAACGAAGAATTCTACTCTCCAGCAAAGCAGAATCACCTTCTGCACCGGAAGTATCAACAAAAAGGAACTTTCCGGTTCCTGTAGTGTGGTCTCCCTTTTTACCGGTTTTCCAGTTTGTCACCCCACCTTTGTGTAAATTCCAGTCAATATCGTCACGAAGAAGAGCATTAAACCAGTCCTTGGATGGTGTTTCGAAATCAGTAAACCCTGATGTGTGAATGAAATTACGAAATTACTTGGAGAGCGACTTATTTTTATTTTGATCTTTGATATGAAGATTCGATTGAAATATACAAAAAAAGTAGGTCATTCTGAACACTATTTAGCAAACAATAGTGATATTTCTTACATTGTGTCATTTTTTATAATTTGTTATATTTCATGAAAATTTTAGAAATCGTATTACCTGCTTTGGCCTTCAAAGGGACTACCAGTATAATGACGAGGGTTAATATAAGAATTCTCAAGTTCATAACTTCCGAAGTTTGTTAGTTTAATTGATACTGTAAAATGAATTTTTCATGTAATAAATTTTGAGCATATCCTTTACATTTACTGAAATCCTATTGATTTTTTAAAGATGATTTCATTCGTAAATTTTGAATATGGTAGTCCTTCAGCATGTGACACAGGCATGGAGTTCATATGACACGAATCGCGTGATACACGTTATAACTTCATTATAATAGATCGGTGAAACTTTGTATACACCCTACCTGCAATCAATATTGTCTACACAAAAAGCACTTATTCAACTTGAAAAAGAAAGAATAAAGTTAAAAAAAGAGTTTTATTTTTCTTTTAAAAACATTTTTAAATGTAAAATTAAAAAGGGGCAACATGTATACATTTAAGTTTATGTACATTGTATATTTTGATGAACAAACTGAATAAAAAGTGTCCTAAAAGATTTAATGCACATTACTGTTAAACTAACGATACCTTAAAAAATCAAAGAAATCTTCAATTACATGTATTTGGATACACATGCATGCTAATTTGGCGCTCCATAGAGGCGAGGCTATTGAGAAGCATCGCTTTAGCGTTCTCTCTCCCTGAGAGGAATTTCACATTTACGAGTTATTTCCCTTTGAGGGGTCAATCTGGGTTTTTCCTCTATAACATTACCAACTTTTGGGGGTAATATCTTGCAAATTAAACCCGTTTGCAAATGTTCATTATGTTTTTTTATGCTGCCCCATACTAAGGCAATTCAGGAACAAGTCAAAACTGTCAGATTCCGTTTGAAGGTTGAAAATATTTACAGGTAAGTTACAAAGGATATAGTGACAAAAATGAACGTTACGCCGACAACGGGAGATAATCTTAAAAATGTGAAATTCGTCTAGTTTATAAAGCATGAAAACAATTCCCGCGTTACAAAAATAGTTATAATATAATAAATAATATTTCTTCAACCGAAGATGTTTTTCATCGATTCCAATCAAATGTGTATGCTGAAAATATGCTGTAAGAAAAAGCAGATTTTTTTTTTACTATGACGTCATAATCAAATGTACGTAAGAAACTTGCCTACATCGTAGATAATTGTTTCCATTGGAATTTTTATTGTGACGTCATAATTGGGTAAGAAAAAATAAAGACACCAAAGAGGGGATGGAAACAGACACAGATACAATGGAATGCCAAATGAAAAGAAAGCTCAGCGCAGAGGCTTTTGATATTTTGTGGGAATTGCGTAAATCAGGGCAGCTGTGTGACGCTGTTATCAAAGTAGAAAACAAAGAATTTCCCATTCATCGAAATATCATGTCTGCGTGTAGTCCATATTTCAGAACTCTCTTCACAACTGAATTTTTCCAAACGAATGCAAAAGAAGTCGTGATCACCGGTGTGTCTGCTGATATAATGAGTCTAATTATAGACTATGCCTACACAAGAAGTGCTGCTGTGACGTCAGACAACATAGAACGTCTGCTTCCTGCTGCCGACCAGTTTCATGTCTTGGGTCTCGTCAATCATTGCTGTGATTTCCTAATGTCGCAGATAACAGCAGAAAACTGTATTGGAATATTAAGATTCGCAAAAAATTATTTTTGTCCAAATTTGGAGAAGGAAGCCTACCGTTTTCTTATGATTAATATTGCAGACGTTATAGCGAATAGTAATGAATTTTTGCAATTCGACATTGAGGAAGTGTGTCATATTTTAAGTTCTGACTCTTTGAATGTAAAGAACGAAAAAATAGTCTTTGACGCAGTAATACGCTGGATCGATTACTATCCTGTTACCAGGAAAGTGTATATCGCCCGATTATTGAAAACGATTCGCCTTGGACTTTTAAGTAAGAAGTATTTCGTGGAAAAGGTTAAAGTTCATCCTTATGTCAAGGATAATGAATTTTGTAAACCTTTAGTCATAGATACTTTGAAATATCTGTATGACTTAGGTACAGATGAGCCTAGGACCATGGGAATGTGTTGCAATATCGCGGCACCTCGCATTCCCCACGAGATTTTGTTCGTTATTGGCGGATGGAGTGGTGCATCGCCAACAAACATTGTGGAGATATATGATACACGTGCAGATCACTGGGCCATTTGTGATATAGCAGATAGAGGTGTGAAAAAAAAACGTATATCTTGCTTAGATATCCTCGATAACTCAGTAAAAAAAAAACTTCTTTGATCGTTTTTGAAGTATGTTATTGTTTACATAGTTTTGGATGTGTATTTTTGAAGAAAAAAAAATCCATCACAATATCTTTAAAATTACGTGTACCAACTTTCGTTTACAAAAATCTCAATACAAGCATCAAATTGATAAAATATCATTTAAATTTCGTTTCTTTACTTCGATTGTTTTAGCAGGCCCAAGAGCGTACCACGGAACAGTGACACTAAATCAAATGATTTACGTCATCGGAGGGTTTGATGGGATAGAATATTTCAACAGCGTGCGCAGCTTTGACCCGATAACCAAAGAATGGAAAGAAGTGGCACCAATGAACACAAAAAGGTAAATTGTTACATTAATTACAATGATTCATGTACATACTAAGTATACGATAATTACATATGCTTGTATTTAAATTTAGTACTAGATTGTATTATCGATACTCTCTAAATCCAATGGTTGATTATTGAGAGAACACAACTAGAAAATTCTACATATTTTTAAAGTATCTATATTGAATTACGAAACCACCACTTCCATTTAGTATAGACTACACGAAATGCTTAGATTTAAGCTATCTTATTTTAATATTTACATTTCCAAATGTTTTCTCCATCTTAACTTTTTGAAAGGTTTTCGATATTTATAACTCAATGTTATTTCCGAATAGTGAGAAACCAAGTGCCGAATATGTATGTCGATATGTAAACGGAAATACCACCGAGGTTGAAGACAACGAATACATGAATTTAGCAGCAATTTATGTTTTCTCATAAATTCTTGCTCGTATTTGTTTTATTCTTTGAAATACCGAAAATTAACTTAAAATTTATTAAAAACCGAATAATAAATATGGTTAACATTAAATTTTAAAACCGGTCAGGGTAGCCTACATGCAGTGGTAGGGTGTGCTTTTCATGTTCGATTCACCTTCGCCGCTTCGCTTCAAACTTGAGACGAAAACATAGGTAGTCACTGTTCCTTCGCCAAACGCCTGTCATTAGAAGTGAAAGTCACGGGTCTTTTGGATGAGACCTTAAAAACCGAGGTCCTGTGTCGCCGTAGGCGTTGGTAGGATAAATAAGTATTGGATATATGCCGAATACATTTATCTGTATGAAAAAATATCGGACAGTTTGAGGCCCGTCAGGGCCGAAAATTGTCTGATATTTTTTTTCATACAGAATTGTATGAGGTATACTTAAAACATTGCTTTTTGATTTACCTGAGAAGTCCGATATCATAACAAAAGACAAAAGTGTAACACAGTGTAATGACCACTGAAGCAATTCTTTCAAGAATGCAGGTTTAAATGAAAAGTACTCGGTATTTAGGGAATCAGCTACACTGTTGTAGGTATTTGAAGTACTTTGATGTTTGATACGGAGAGTAGGGACACTATAATTTTTTCTTCTTTAGAACATACACGAAGCTTAAATTAAAGCAATGCATTGGATTATGATACAGACAATCTAGTGAATTATGTTTTTGGAATGGAAAGGAAAAATAAATGCAGATACGTATGAACTTTGATTTGAACTAAACAACCACAGAAAATAAAGCAGATGCTGAAGGTATATTTGTCCATTCTAATTTCTTTTCTATGATTAGCGCGTCCGTATGTGCCTTGGTAAAACTCTTTTATGGTTAAAATGAGAGATTTATCAGCCAACTCTGCTTATAGCTGCAGAACTGTAGCTCTCAGAAAAAAATATTGACAGACCGGAGAGCTACAGTGCCACCCATAGAGAAAACTGTATATTTATTGCTCACAACAAATTGGGCTCAATTCTGGATTTATTTCTCGAAATTCTTACCTCATCTGCACAAAAGCTCGTTCTCATGAAATTGACATCTGCACGAAGCGTAGTGGACCGAATTGTCTTGCCACCAAAAATGGCAGTATAAATAAGCGAAATTTTCGAGGGTCTCCATTTCAGGCCCAGGAGGGCTATTATCAACTGTTATGATGGAATGTTTTGTTGTCGAAATAGTTTAAGGATATGTTAGGAATGCACGGTTAGTAATATTTTGAGATGGCGGTTTAAATATACGGAGAAATAAATCTAGAATCGAGCGCAATTTTTTGTGCGCAATAAATATACAGTTTTCTCTATGGGTGGCACTGTAGCTCTCCGGTCTGTCAATATTTTTTTTTTTTTTTTTGGAGAGCTACAGTTATGTAGCTACTCTGCTTATAGTGATCAAGTACTTTCGATCATAACTATTCAACCCAGATAAGGGAATTTGTGACCTATGGTTAGCACTAAATGATTGATTGCACTGTAAAATCACATATTTTCGTGTGATCAAATTTTCGAGGTTCGAGAAAAAAATATCGGTTCACGGGGATTTTATTTCGTGGGTGTAGAAGTCCTGAATAGTAATTAATTTGAAATTTTACATTTCATCGAGGACATAAATTCGTGGGTCTATTCATACCACGAAAACAACGAAAATTAAACCACATGAAAATTAGTGATTTCACAGTATATTGCTTAACACCGATCGTATTTAAGCCATATTTTGGTAGTAAAGATTTCTTATGACCGGTTTTTAAAAAAAAAAGTTTTGGGATTTCTCTGGCGGTCCCCAGTTAGTCTACCGTTTTTAAAAAAACATAGAAATGATCTTTTGCGTGCCAATGGGGTTGAAACATTTCTAAAAGTTTAATAAGCTTATTTTAAGTCCCTAAGACCCTTTTTTTTTTTTTTTTTTTTTTTTTTTTTTTTTTTTTTTTTTTGCATGATCTGGTCCCTCGTACTCTCTTCCTTCTAGTATATTCAATTTTAATTAGAAGTTAAAATTTTTCATTTTCCAATTCTGTATGATCAATAATCTGTTTCAAAATCATCATTGTATATATGAAATTTTAGTTTATTTGCTGTTTGCTAAATAATCACAGTTTTATTCTTTTGTTCAGTAACAGTCCAATTTTGAAGGATATCAGTACTGAGACAATATGATAATACGATTGCTCACTAATATCGGATTGCCAAAGGTAAATTTTTAGACTGCAAGAACAAAGGAATTACATCACAGCAATGTTTTAACCCTAACTACTCAAAGTGTCTTCCGCCTATTCCCACTTTTTTAAAATCACAATTCCACCTATTCCCATTTGCAAATAACAATGGCGCTGAGTGCCGAGTATAGGTCTAAATTTGAAACCCTTCACAGCATACGGTGACGACTCTATAGAAAGGGAAAAATTCTCAAATGGGACGTTTAACAACATACGATCAATCGAAAACTGCAATTAAAAGGCACAAAATGCAGAAAAATGGTACATGTATATATACTATTAATGCTTATATTATGCTTCGTTCAATATAAATTGTGTAAAGTATAGCTCTCTGTAGACGATGCATAGGCGTCGGAAGCAAATTGAAAGTGGGGTGGGGGGGGGGCTAATTGAAAGTGGGGGGGCTAAACCAACGAAAAAAGGTAACCCCCAATTTTCAATGCCTATATTATGTCTATCTTTGCAAAAAAAGTGGGGGGCTAAGCCCCCCCTAGCCCCCCCGGTTCCGACGCCTATGCGATGATTTCGCTTTCGTTGTGTCTGATGTCGGAGGGAGGGACTATGGAAATTAAATGGATGAACTTGCATTTCGATTCTGTTACAGAGCATTTTTGGTTTATAATTACATTATATATTCTTTGAAAACAAATTACCCATTCCAAAAAAGGAAAAAAAAGAATATTTAATTAAATAAATATCGAGTTTTTTTAGGTGCTACGTCAGTGCGGTTGTACTTGAGGGTTATATCTACGCCATAGGCGGGTATGATGGTCAGCACAGACAAAACAGCGCGGAGCGATATCTTCCCGCCAAAAATCAGTGGAGTTTAATCTACCCAATGCACGAACAAAGGAGCGACGCCAGCGCCACCTCTCTTAATGGTAATCAAAGATTGTGCGCACTGTTTTAAAAAAAAACCAGTTCAACACAGGTGTTATTGAGTTAAATAGTGCGGCAACAATTTTACGAAAATGTATTATTAAATTGATACATGGAGAATAATACATACCCATTTTTCCATAATACACCCTGTATCAGCCCGATACACTGATATCAATCAGAGGATCAAGGCTCGAGGGCTGATATTACAGTGTGTGTTACGGAAAAGGTATGTTATATAATGTTTTTTACATACTTAGTAATAATTAATATCTACTACAAATAATCACCGATTAGCTTACTGTATAAAATTCCAGTTATTTAAAATCAATTACATCTTTTTACAGAGAATGTGAACAAAAATAGTTGTATTATCACAAAAATGTTTATAAAAGATTTAATCTACAAGTGGTGTGATATAAATCCGTATCAGCCCTGCAGATCCTTATCAATCCAGCAGGATCTGTATCAGCCCTGGAAGCTGATGCAGCTATTGTGACGTCAGGCTTATGGCATATGCAAAAAAAAATGCATTTTTACTATGTAGTAAACGTGTATTAAAGACATTAGATGAATTCTTTTTTTGTCAGGAAAAGTATACATTTGCGGGGGGTTTAACGGACAGGAGTGTCTAAATAGTGCCGAAGTCTACGATCCCGAGACGAATCAATGGACAGAACTGCCACCGATGAGAATCAGGCGCAGTGGCGTAGGCGTTATTGCCTATCAGGAAGAAATCTACGCCTTAGGCGGATTCAATGGACTTGCCCGAATTCATTCTGCAGAAAAGTATTGTCCGAAAAGAAATGCGTGGATAGCGATATCAGACATGCTCAGTCTGAGAAGTAATTTTGCAATTGAGGTATGTATATTTATATTTAAGTGAAGTTTGTATCATATTATCAACTTAGCCATTTGTGAAATTTACAATTAGTTTTATGTGTTCGTTATTCCTTTCTTGAAGTCAGTGTAATTACGTTTTCATATGTCCTTTCACATACATTCACACCTATAAATATATGAACAACATCTATAAATGTATCAACAATTTGAAAACATTGCGAGATCTACGTGTGTATACGTTCAAACGAAAAAAAGACTTGGTCCTTTTGATCCTAAATGTTGTCATTTTTGTTCTGGTTTATTTCACAGCTCCTAGACGACATGATATTTGCCATTGGGGGGTTTAATGGTGTCACTACAATTTACAGTGTTGAATGTTATGATTCCACCACAGATGAATGGTAAGTCTGCAATAGAAAAGAAATGGTAAGAATTACTAACAGAAAAATGATACATGTACTTCATATGGGTACAGTACAAGTAAGACAGTCGAATTTGAGAATTGATATGTAAGCCATGTTACCTGGGAAATGCTTAGTCATTAGCAACAGTAGAATGAGGAGAGCAAAAAACCAAAGGAATACTGAACATTCTTTATTTTACTCGAGTACTCAATATCGCAAAATGGCTCGTCAACGTCAAATCGCAAGAACATGAATTCGCGAATGAACTATAGATCACAAATGTTTCTTTTAAACATGTATTTCAGCTGTATGAAAATTAAAGCGAATAAGTTATACAGTTTCGCGAATGGTGCTTCTCACAAAATTACGCAGAGAAAATCCTCGCACACTTTTAGGAAATCATTGTAAGCAAGAATAATAGTTTATTTAAATCAAGTAAGGCAGGGGAGGTAAGTCATATAAACAGGGGAATAATATGTCATTTATGCAGGAGGAAACGTAAGGAACTGAATCAGAGGAGAGAATATGAAATATTTACCACAGAACTGGTAAGGGTCAGCCAAGTAAAATGAAGGAATGTTTAGAAGTAGATATGAATAAGAGCCAGTTGAGATTAATTTAATACCCCCCCCCCCCTCAGAGAGAGAGAGAGAGAGAATCGTTTTGGTTTTAAAACTTCAATGAATGAGTGTATGAAATACCCTTTCAAAAGGAATACTACCTCTGTGTTCTTTATTCCTTAACAACAGCCATAGTCTTAGAATTGTCTCCCTTCAAAGCAGCCTGTTGAATGGAAAAAGCAGATTTCTTAAAATGTCTGAAAAAAAATAGTTCAGAATTTGTATACTTTATATGCAAGAAGCAAGATTTAATGCCGAAGTCAAAACATTTATAATTGTGTTCTTTCAGGTATGACGCTGCTAACATGAATTTGTACCGAAGTGCACTCAGCGCATGCGTGGTAAAAGAACTACCAAATGTGGAGGATTATATGGACAAAGAAAGATAGATATTTCAGACTTCTACTTTTCAGAAAATGAATTTTAATCAAAATCCAGGAGGTTAACTTTTTTTTTACTCCTTTACTCTAAGCTTACGGAATTTATTAAAGTATTTAGATTAATATTTGATAAAAAATTAAAATACATCTTTTATAGAAAATGATAATCTCAAGAAGAAAAATTTCTTATGATAAAAACTAGAATAACCAGTCATGTGTGATAAGAAAATAAAAGAATGAAATTTTCATTGTGTAATTTTTTAAAATGTACCACTATCAGTTTAAATTTTATTAAGTATACATAATAATCGGTATGATTTCATTCATACGACAATTTCTCGTACAATGAATTGTTACATGTATGGTGTTCCCAGCCCTCATTGTCTCTGACCTTGACTGGATGACTCTGAGGTCTCTACAAGACCACCATACATCTCTGCAGTAAAATTGATACTAAAAAGTGATACTCTTTGGATTGTGTTCTCAGCTTTCCCTGACCACACCTATTTACTCCTTAAGGACAGACCCCCTCCCCCAGCTCCAAAAAAAGAAAGAAAGAAAAGGGATGCATCGACTGCTGCATAAATTTTTGGATTTCTTCAGACTCTGAATGATGCATATAACAAAGAAGAGGGGGAACAAGGCATGCAAAATGTCTATAGCTTCAAATGTATGAAAGTCATGTTCAATTTATGAATTTAGAATTTAGAGTAAAGTTTTTATCATGGAAAGGTATGAAATTATGACAAACAAAACTTTTCTGCAGAAAATTCTTTCTGCAAAAATAATTCTACATTTAAAAAATGTGGTATTCTTGGGGTTCGAAGACAAGCAATAACAAGAAGTATCTGATGAGAATGTAGCCCTACTGGTTTGTATTTACAACAAAGGAAGAGAAAGTTAGCACTTGGATTTGAAAATATGCAACAGCAAATGGTCCTTGGTTTAGTCTCTTTATTATGGCAATATTTATTTCAATCAGATTAAACTGTTGGAGGAGTAGCCTTTTGAAAAAAAATCACCAAATTTTCTATTTTTAGTAACCTTGCAAGACTGTTCATCAAAATCAAAAGCTGATATAAAATTATGTATCTCAGTGTAGTCTACTTATGGGCACAGTTAATATATTGAAATCAGATGATCCAGGGTTCAACATTAACCATAGTCTGTAAGTCTCGGACTAAAGCATTTTCATTCAAACTAATAAAATCGGAGGCTAATAAGTCCAAACGGACTGGAAAACAAGATGAATGAATTGCCGATGTTCGATTCTCGACAACTTTTACTGGAAACCCCTGCAAGCCTTTCAGGTTCTTGGCGGGTAGTTAGATAATTCCGAGTCAATCCAACGCTTATTATTAAGACTGATGAAGTAGAAACGTTTTAAAGATCGTTTAGTATGACACATAGAGATGGAAGTTTTGGATGCATTTTGCTGAAATGAACGAGATCTGGAAAATACGGAAGCCCTGGAGGGACATTGACTTACTTCTTAGGTGTTTTGACTTAGTTCTTATGACTTAATTGTTAATTCTTGTTATTTTAAATTTGTTATCACACGTTTACTTAACCAACAACGTGGCGTGAAAGATGGAGGCTACTTGTACTTTCAGAAAAGAATGAAGTAATATTTTGCCTTTGAATTTATTACTAACTACAAGATAAAATAGTAGTTATGTTCATGTGATAAATCATTATGCAAACTGGAAGTTACAAATAAGAATTAAGCAATAACTTTTATGTAACAACAAATAAGAATTAACAAATAAAATTTAAGTTATAACAACTAAGTTACAAGATATTAACAGATACGAATTTAGTAGTCACAGCTGTACTGGGCGTTAAACTACAATTAATCATTCAAAAAACCACAGTTAAACTAGGACTAAAACATATCATTTTAATAATAAACGTAAGCAAAACTACACATTCTCCATAGCTACGTTACACTAAGTTATAATCAGCAACAAAAAATCACAACAAAAAAGTCGTAACAAGTAAGTCAATGTCCCTCCAGGGCTTCCGTAGGAAAAAGATTGTACTTCCTGTTCGCGAGATTTCAACAATTTTGTGGAATGAAACACTTCACGTAAATGCTTTGTTTATTTAAAAAAAATAAATGTACATATTGTAATGCTTATTTTTAAATTAATCGATAAAAACATTGATGTTTCCTGTATTGACGGACATACATGTATAAAATCGCGTGCGGACTAGTAAAGGTTAAAAAAAAGCACTGCTCTGGCCGGACTAAAGCCTGAAAAATTTAGTGTTGAACCCTGAGATCAAAACTGTAAGAGGAGCAGCATTTTGGAAGTATTTCACAGAAATTTCTATTTTGAGTAACCATGGTAATACTATTATTTGAAATCAAAAATTGAAACACAGAATTATTTATCTGAGTTTGAAATCTTGTGTCCCTGTTATAATTAAATCAGACCAAAACTGTTAGTAGAAGGAGTAGTTTTTTGAAATTATTTCACAAATATTTCTATAACGTAACCATGGCAACAATGCTCACAAAAAATATGTTTCTCAGTGAAATCTACTGTTATACTGAAATCAGACTAAACTGTAAGAAAAGGAGCATTTTGAAAGTATTTCAGAGAGATTTCTATTTTAAGAAACCATGACAATACTGCAAAAAAAAAAAATAACAAAGACCCATGCACTAAATTATGTATCTTAGTGTAGTCTATATGTGTGCCAAGTTATATTGAAATCAGACCAGAACTGTAGGAGGAGTTAAGTGTTAAAAGAATTTTTCACAGAAATCTATTTTTTTTGGTAACCATGACAACACCGTTCATCAAAATCAAAAAATAATGCACTAAATTATTTATGGACACCTGATATGGCGGTGCTCTGTTTGACACAAATAAAAACGCAAGGTTGGAATTATTTGAATGGTCATTTATTAATAAATAAATGACGAAGCAATCAAAATATGTCAACACATAGTAGAATTGATAATTCCAAACACAATTAAACACATTAGGTAATAGAAAAAAAACACATATAGCAAAAACCATCATAAAATCTTAAGTTCACAATATTATGCAATGAGGTACACAAAAATGTGCAATAAACAGAATGCTTGTTTCAGACCTTAACAGTGTCAAAGATAGGGCAACATCCGCCCGGCATCAGACTACGCATGCTACAAAAATACACTGTAAGCAAAATACGTATTTCAAATCTAACAAGAAAAAAGATGTGAAAAATGGGGCAACAATCGCCCTAAAAAGTCAGAACATAAGACGTTAATTAACACATGGAGGTGGGGTGGGATGCGGCATCAGAAAATTGTAAAAATGTTTACCGCAAAAAATAAATATGGAGACTGACTTTATCTTGCGCGCCTGCGCATTAGTGATAAGACAGGAATAAAGGGGCCTCCCATGGGTAGAGGCTTCCAAAGGAATAATAAAAATAATAATACAAAAACTATCAGTATCCATAAATGTTTTTATGTGATAAAATTGCTTTTATGGATACCTGATATAGTGGTGCTCTGTTTGATACAAATGAAAACGCAAGGTTGGACACATATAGCAAAAACCATCATAAAATCGTATGTTCACAATATTATGCAATGAGGTACGCAAAAATGTGCAATAAACAGAATGTGTATTTCAGACCTAAACAGTGTCAAAGATGGGGCAACATCCGCCACCGAACAAAGCCTCAAAGGGTCCACCGCCAAAAACTTAAATTTGCAGGTTTAAAATAATGATTTGATAATTTGATTTCCAAAATGGAAAAATACTCCAGGATATGTATTTAAGTAATCAGAAGCACGTAAAAGAAGAAATTACGGAGTCGATGTATTATACATGTAATTAAAACATATAGCATCTCAATAAGAGACCAAAGGCTTTTGTCATGAATTCATGACCAGAGTGTAGAATCTTTAGATGTCAAGATATGGCAAATAACCTACTAGTATATTCAGATGTGAACAGAAATCTCTGACCTCATGGTCAGAGACTAGATAATAAAATGTAGCCAATAACCAATATTTAGTTGTGACCAGAGGCCCCTGTCGTCATGGTCATAGACTAAATATCAAAATGTAGCCAATAACCAATATCCAGTTGTGACCAGGGGCCCCTGACCTCATGATCATAGACTAGATATAAAATATATAATCTAAAACTTCTACACAAAGAGTCTTAAAACTTGGAAGCAAATCATTTTTTCTATATATAATTTTCTTTTTTTAAAAAGGGATCAGACTGAAATAGATCAAAATATTTACCCATAAAATTGTTTAATCATGCTCACTCGATCACTGAAGTAAAACATATATAACTACTTTGTATCAAAACCAAAACAAAACTGCTGCAAGTGTTTATTTCATCGAATTTTTCTAGCAAAATATTCATAACATGCAAGTTTGCTTAACTGTCATTCTACGGGTTTTTTGAACAGAGTGTTATTTTGGATCATATTGATGACGTCAGTCGCAAATTTTTGAAACTAAATTAACATTCTCTGCATGAAAGCACTTTAAGCATATGACCTAAACAATAAGCAAATAATCATTGGATGCAAAATATTTCAGTATAGAAAGTTTTGTGATGTTTTTATTTGTCGAAAGGACTTATTCGCTCATTTTTACTTTTTTTTGTTCACTTATGACTTAAATATAATAGCTTTCGTTAAAATATCTAAATTAAGGTCAGACGACACGTTCCTCAATAATATATAATTTTTCCCAAGAATTTGTCATTATCAAGTACTGCTACTTTAACACGTTTCCTCAACAAAAAAACAAAAACAAACAAAAAACAAAACAAAAAAAAAAAAAAAAACAAAAAAACTGAGGTACCTTACCAGGCATTTGTGCAAAATACCAGAAGATGGTGTTCCCTACGTAATCCTATTTGAAATCACTTGAATTGTCAATATCACAGTTTTTGTTGTAGTTATTTTCTAGGACATTTTGAAAACAGTTTAGAAATCATAATATAATGTTAACATCATAAATATTTCTTATATTTGACAAGGAGAAACAAAACAGATATTTGAGGAACGTGTCGTCAGATCCGTTTATTTTGATTGAGAATGTTTTAAGGGATGCATTGTATGAAATGAAACATCTTGATATTCTTTTCATCAATATTAATGATTAACAAGTATAATTTTTTCAAAGAGCTTTGCCGTCTTAGCAATAACCTTAAACAGTGAAATGA